TATTCCCTTTTTAAAAATTGATTTCTCTGTATATAAAACCTTCAGTCATAATAATTATTAAAATCCTCAGTGTATTAAAAGAAAGGAGACAAATGGAGACCAATTAACAGTTTACTTTGCTGCATTTGAAACCCATTGAGCAACATGTGCAGATATTTATAGCCACAGGAAAACAAGAGATAGACACAAAAACCTGATTCGCTTGACATGATCATATTTAGGCACGTTTTGGCCTCTGATTGGCTGCCATGAAAGATTGGTTAAGACTCAGTTGCTTCATTACAACTGGTCATTCTTAGGTTAGATTTACAATTGTTACCAGACCATCTAAATTGTAGTCCATTAAATATAGATGCTACTTTGGAACAAACTAAATAATTTAACAACTGTTACTCCCTTAGCTTATAATGCTATACAATCGAGATTTGTATAATTGCTTTTATCTGTGAATTTTCTACCTCCCATGCTTTTTGTTTTTTTTTTTTTGGTCTTACTCATTAACTCTTTGGGGTTTGAAGAGTTGTTACTATTATTATTATTATTGTTAGCATTTCTTGCAGAGCAGGTACGCAATAGATCATTAGGTATTGCATTCTCAATTGACAGTTATTTTCCCTTCTCTCCCTTCAATACCTTGCAAATCTCTTGTCACTAGCTTGTAAAATTTCTGCTGCAAAGTCTTTCCCAGGTGAATTAGGATACCATCTAGTGTGTGTTGTGTTTTTGTTTTCTTCCCTTGCAGACCTTTGAGTCTTTTTTATCTTTAATATCTAACAGTCTTCTTATAAGGTATCTTGGGTGGTCTGAGTTGGGTTAAATTGATTGGTGAACTTTTACCTTACTATACCTAGATATTTGTATCTTTCTCTAGGTGCTGGATGTTTTCTGTTTTTTTTTTTTTCCTCTGAATGAACTTTCTACATTTTTGATATTCTCAAGTCTTTGAACCTTGATGACTTGAATGTTTATTCTTGTAATACTGCCACAGAGATCCTGTGAGCTCTTTATCTTTCTTCACCGTTCTTCTAATTGTGCAATTAAAGTACATTGTTATTAAGCTCAACAATTCTCTGTTCTGCTGAAGCTCTCTTATGACTCATTTTTTTTCATTTTGCTAAGAATATTTTTCAGCCCAAGAATTTCTGTTTGACCCATTACAGCAATGATACAGGCACTATATTGGAAATGAACTTTACAACTTTGGGGTGAGGGGAATGAAGGAATGGGGGGGAGTGGGGAAGGGAAGAAATAATAGGAGAAAAACAATGGAGGGGGTAACCATGCTCAACAAGAAATGTACCCATCACCTTACACCTCACTGTAACCCCTCTATACAGTATCTTTACAATAAAATAAAATTTAAAAGAAGAATTTCTGTTTGACTTTGAAAGATTGTCAATTTGTTTTAAAAAGTTTCTTTTTTTTAAAAAAAAGAGTATTGAAACATTTGTTTTAAACTTGAATTTCCTTAAAGCTGTTGTTTTCCATACTGATTGTTGCTGGATCAGTTTTAGCATGAGGTGATACCGTTTCCAGATAGTTCTTCATACTTGTTGACCTGTGATACTGATGGCTATTGAAGTACTAGGTATTTAGTCCAGTCTTTCTAATCTGGTTTGTTTAGTCCTGCTTTCAGGAAATTCTCTGGACATTGCTTATTTTTTCTGAGACCTTAGTCATTTCCCCTGTTTTAGTACTGGATGGTACATCTATCCATATCTGCCATTTTTTTTAACATACTGTCATGTTTTCAGTAACAGTAGGCAACCAACCAGGGTTTATTCTAAATAGACTATTGATGTACTTATTGTTCAGAAGAAAATAGGAGAGTACCTACATAAAGTTGTTTGTCTTCACAAGCCTCCTCTGAGGTAGAACCAGATGTTTCACACACACCAATCTATGGTCAGATGCTGCAGCATTCCTATCAGTTCTGTGTGGTCACTATGGATAGACCAGTCCCTGGATTCTTTGTCCTATCTGTGGCCACCAATGCAACTAACATCTCACACCTTGAACCCATCATCCACCAAGACTAGAATGACACTTGGATAGGATCAAGACCAGTGCTGTGAATAGTGGTCATTCCTGAGGTGCTCTCATGGCCTAACACTACTGCAGCGAGCTACAATGATAGTACCTGGAACAGAAGCCAGTCAACTGGGGCTGCATGTCTTCTCCTGACACTGGACCTCTTTCAGAGATTCCAGTCTGGTTGAGCAATGGAAGCCATTGGGATATATCTGGTATTCAGTTGTAACAACCTAGCACCAAGTTCCAGTGCAAAGTCTTGTGCCTACTACTATATCCTACTGCCAGTGAATAGAGTTTTGCATCATGATATAAAGCTGAAATAAGATTAGTGAAAACTGTCCCTTTGTAGGAAAAGCTGAGCATCTCACAGCTGCAAGAACCTGAAAAGTCACAGGAGTACATGGAGGTTTATGCCACAACTGATGGTGATGCAGACAAAGATAGAAGTCCATATCTCAGGGACACTGGCCAATGTCTGATGCCAGGTCTCTTTTGGAGTCTTATCCATGAACATTTGCTTGGTGATAGCTGTGTGTGCTGTGGTTGGGGGGTAAGATTGGGTGGTAGAACAGTCCCTGGCCAAAGTTTGGTGTTAATCTGGGTCATACCTGAGTTTCACACTCCTATTAACCTGTCTGGTTTCAGGAGGAGGGTGGGTATGCTCCATGTTTGCTACAAGGCTGGAGCAGATGCAACAGAAACACAGGTCTGTCCCAACCTCTACTTCAAGCTAGGCTGGCCTAAAGACACCATCAGTAAGCTCTGACCAGAGTACAGAGATTTCAGTTTCTATCAGGTATTACGATTGAGCCAAGTATACCTATGACTTTAAGACTAAGTGCTTGCCCTCTTGTCCTGCTACCCAGCATGCTGATTCTTTCTACCCAAACTTGGAGAAGTAGATACAGTGACTGTGTCTATGGGTATTAGCCTGGAGGTAGGGTGGGCCTTTGTTCAGCACTGAGTTTCCAGTCTAGGGCTTGGACTTATATCTTGTCTGCCTCTAGTTGTAGGTATGTATCACTTTTCTGGGCTACCTGGTGTGACATAGACAACTCTTTGCTTTTTGCCTTCTTCAATGTGTCTTTCCACTTACATATACTAAAATCAGGCAGAATGGGCTCACATCTGATAGCCTTAGCTCTTAGGAAGATCTATTTAGGTATGAATGCTTTTTATTTGTGCTGCCTATATGGAGAGATCCCTGGAGAATTTTGCTGAGATGCCATTATACTCTGTCTTTTCCAATTATATTTTTTTTGAAATTCTTTTATGACAATTTTAGAAGTATTCCCTTAAAAGTTTAAACATGAATAACATTAAATAAAAGAGCCCTAGACTGGTTGTTACCTAGTGATATTTAGTATTATTTCTACTAAAATATTAAATAACATTTTCTGCTTGTGAGTAGATATGTAAAGAATTAAGTGTCTACCCAAGTAACCAATCTGCAAGATTAATTCTGTCTAATTAGGCAGACAGGAGGAAAAGACTATGTGCTTATTCAGTATAAGGACTTTCAAAATAATGTTTGAATAAAGGATTGCTTCATTCTATCATAATTTCCATGGCAATAAGCCTTCTCTATGGTGATGACTAACAGATGTACTTGTATATACCTGAACTCATTAGGTTAACATACAGCTAGTTGTTGGTCTCACAGAAGACATTGCTATTGGACAAAGCGACAGTCACCTAAAACCTTCTTGATCTGATTACTCAGTGAGTACATTTCCTTCTCCTAACTATATTGGTTTCCAAGGTGATCACTCATTCCTAGTCAGATCAGTTAGGTCAACAAGAATGTTTTCCTCTCAGGTGTTTTGGTTGTGATATCAGGAAAATAAAATCTTCCATTTGGCATGTGGTGCTATAATTCTGATCCTTCAAGGCACCACAAAGAGGGGCATAAAACAGACAGGAAAACAGTAGAAACTAGATGAAAAAAGATGTCCAAGTCTTCAAGTCATCCCCAGAGCCCTGAATACATATGTTTCTAAAGATGATTATGTTTTTCTGCTCTTTTAGTAGGAGTCCATTCTCAGATTTTCTTTGTTATTTGTTTGTGAGCTGATAAAACATCTTTCTTGGCTGGGAAGGTGGCTCAGTGGTAGAGTGCTTGACTCCCATGCATGAGACACTGGGTTCGATTCCTCAGCACCACATAAGCAGAAAAAAGCCAGAAGTGGTGCTGTGGCTCAAGTGGTAAGAGTACTAGCCTTGAGCTGAAGAGCTGAGGGACAGCGCCCAGGCCCAGAGTTCAGGCCTCAAGACTGACAAAAATAAATAAATAATAAATAAATATCTTTCTTATCCAGACCAAATTCAAGCAGACTTTCTGTCATGTACAGTTAAAAGGCCTACCTTGATGACACTGTGTGTGGTTTCTTCCACAGTATTTGTCAAGTATAACCTCGTCATTCTTTCCATATCTCTTTTCCTCCACACTGTAGTCTCTATGCAAATAGCATCAGATTGTAAATTGTTCCAGTCACTTTCCTAGCACCTAGAATAATTCTGATTTTTTAGTACTCAGTCATATTGAATGATTGAATGCATAATATAAGTCAACTACTTTTTCAACTCTGTCCTCAAAGGTTTTAATAACAACGCCATGAAGCTATTTTTAGTGTGTGTGTGCTCTTTCAAAGAGGTGATTCAAGGTGCATGTATTGCAATGTGCTGCATCTTCCACAAAATTGGGCATTATTTATAATTTCTAACATGAAGGAAACTAATGCTTATTTCTTTGCTATTTGAATTCAGGCAAATTGTTTCTCTGAGCCTTGGTTTGCTTACGAGTGGAAAATGCTTACCTCAAAGTAGACACTTGCAAATAACATGCTCTTGGTAAACAGATTTACTACCAGTACAAAAGAAACTAACTAGATACCTAGGAGGGAAGAAGGAACACTCAATAGGTTCAAAAGCTATGTGCTTGAGTGGACAAAAGCATAGGCCAGGGCTGCATAACACTGACATTTTTATTAGAATTCATTTGTAACAAATGGAACTTGTGTCAGCAAAGAACTGATTTTCATACAGACTTCTTTCGCCACCAATGTAACGAAGTAAGAAAATAAAAAGCACGCCTTTCATTCTGTAAAACATTTACGCGTACTACTAATTAGAGGTAATTGTATTTTTTTAACAAGCCATTTTACAAGTTATTTTTTTAAAGTTTTCAGTCTATGCATCCAAAACGAGAGCAAAGAACACAACTGTTTTTATCTTTGTAAAGACACTCCAAGCTTGGATGGCAAAGCCACATAACGGATGGATAGGATGGACCTGTAGCCTTCTGATCTCTGCTGGAGTATCAGGGCACCCATAAACCCAAATGAAACAATAATCCAAAAAGAAAAACAAAACAAGAAAAAAAAACACTTAAGAAGAAGGACTGAAAAACCAAAAAGAAACAGGACAGGAAAAATATGAGCACAGATGCACATCTTTTCTCTGTGCATCACTGCACATAGTTTTTCTCTTTCCTGTTTCTGTGTTGTGTTATTTACATACACATAAATGAATTTCTGAAGCAGTTTCTTACAGATGGGTTCAAGTAATAACATTATTGGGTGTAGAATCAATAGGGCAGTGCATAGTACAAAGGTAGAGAAAGTGCAAAGTTCCCTAGAGGCCCTTCCCTCCCCTGGCTGTCCTTGCCATTGTCTAACCATGCAAATAATTTTTAAAAAAGAGCTAAAATAAAGTTCTGTACAAATCACTTTTTATATATTTTGATTTTTTTTACCATTGTAACTAATTACAAAATTATACATAACTACACATACATAGGTAAATAATAGCACCGTACTGGTTATGAGGATGAACATAACTGGAAACTTGAAAGTCGATGAGAATGTTAGATAAAGATGTTTACCAGGGAAATTAAAACCTTGGATGGTTATACAGAAAAGTTACAGAGTGGAATGCACATCAATGACAGTAAGGGAGTTAGTTCTAGAAACAGCTCTTGAACAGTCAGATTTCTGGAATAGTCTCCGCCTCATTCATCTATGGTATGTATCCCATTCATGAACATCTTTCCCTCATTTTTTCTGCCATGGGGGCAGGTTTGGTTTTTGTTGTTGTTGCTTTTCAGGGAGACAAATTGCTCATGGGCCAATTGTTCTGGTGTGCAATACTGCATCATTTCCCCATGTGCAGCATGGCGTGTGTGGATGATGTGATGTCTGACACCCCCCCTCCCCCTTGTTTCACTAAAGGAAAGTTACAGCACTGAGTAATCTGGCACTTGGATAAATCTTCAAAAGATAACAACCTAAAAGAAAACAACAACAGACCCACATAGTGCACATTCTTCTCTGGTTCTGATGAAGGTTAGAGAGTCTCATTCTGAGGTAGCCTTCTAGATACTATTTTTTTAAGTATTATACATATATATAGTTTTTTCTTTTTTCTTTTATTTATTTTTTTCTACAAAAGTGCTCAAATACGATGCTTGTAAGTGTTTGGTCTCTTGGATTTCACTCCACCAGTTGATGGGTTAAAAAAAAAAAGTGAAAACAAACATCCATTCATTCAGCACATCCTGGAAGCTAAAACCTAACCCAAATGGAACTATATTGAAACTCTTTTATTGGTCTTAAGATTTTTCTGAGGTTTCCCTAAAGTTATGGAATCTATGGCCAACTAATGCCACCACCCACAGCTTCCTAGAAAAGATGGAAGTTGGAAGATTTGGGGGAGGTCTATAATATTTGTTTCCTCTTTCAGAAAGATTCCAGCTAGTTGTGGACTATCCAGTACATCCCAAAGTCACCAGTGATGCTTGTTACTAAAGTACGTTTGGTGCAGTTACTGCATGTTCCAGAACTGATTTGGAAAGGATTATAAATAAATCAATAGATTTTTTCTTTTCCTGATGTTGAGAGATTAGGAACAGAAGGGCCCTGATTATCCAAGTGCTTTGGGCTGGTACATTTGCTAACATCCCCAACTTGGTTGAAAACTAGGAATGCATATTATTCAAAGAGTTTTTGTACATGTGGTAAACAGATAATGCTTTAATTCAAAGAGTAACAGATACGAACACTAATGGAAATACGAACCAAAAGCTAAAAAAGAAAGTCTATTAAAATAGGCATCAATTATAAGGCACTCTAAATGCAAAACTAAAACTAAAACAAAACAAAGTACAGCACTTCCCAGGAATGCTGTATGCCACAAAATGCTTCTGACTGAAGGAAGTAACATGAGTTTGGCTTTGCCCCTGTTACATATCATAAATGCAAATTTCATAGCACATACTATAGACGATATACGATTGAATACAATTTTTTTAAAAAAACAACTTGATAGCTGATATATTACAACATTCTCCCCTCCCAAAGGGATTTGCACTGACCTTTTCCCACATGCACACCTCTTAGATATTTAATAATCTTTATTGCACTAGAGTGTTAGAAATATTGAACTTCATTGGAAGCCTGGCTAACAAAATGGTATTTGTGAATATGATGGGGTCGGTGGGGTGGTGGGGGGCAGATCTTGGGTATAACAATAGGGGGTGAGGTTTGACCATCATTGATGTGCATTCCTCATTTCCCTTCAAAAATAAAAGTTGTGATATTAAGAAATACCAATATGTTGTAAAATTAAGAAGCAACTGAAAAAAGATGTTTACATTGGCTTTTCTACCCTTCAGAAAACTAAATCATGGAAGAACTGAATGATAGCTAACTCTGTCTTTGTGTGGATACTATATATACATAGACATCCTTATGTAAAATATGGATATATATGTATATATGTAAGTAGCAACTTTATACTTTGCGCTTCCCTGTTGATTCCAAAACCACAACAAAACTTGGCTTTGATTATTTGAAGAGAATAGGTAATTGCTCATCGATTAGAACTAAACAGAAGTCTAAAAAGTAACAGTTGCTGAATCTGAGACTGTAGATTAAGAGTATTGCACAAAAATGTGCAAATTTTCAAATTCTTTGATATTTCTACAGGATATTACAGGTAACAGTTCTACAGCTTAAAAAAAACTCCCTACAATTTGGAAATTAAAAAATGAAGAGTTATGTAACTCATTTTAAAATTCACTTTATCGAATGATACATTTTGTTAAAAAAAAAGTTTACACAGTTAGAAATGAAACACAGGTCAGCAGTATCTTTACAATACTAGAAAACTAAATCAAGGACTTTCTTTTTTTTTTAACATTCCCCACCCTGACCCCTAAAATGTAGTTATGAGCAGTATGGTGGGAAGGGCAATGGAGAAGCAGATTCGATCTTACTGTAAGAAGCCACACCAGCGAACCCCTGTGTGAACTGAAACTCGCTGGCCAATCTCTCTTTGTATCTTATCAAGCAATCCTGAACAGGATGATGGTTCTTTGCTGTGAGTTCTTCTGTTATTTTGAATCCTTGAGGTATCTGTAAATAAAATCCTCCAGATTCCTCGTAAGTCAGGATTCTCCTTTTTTTTTTTTTTTTCCAGGTTAGATTATTAAACTGTGAATGCTTGGTCCAGTTGGAGGAGTTTGTTTTAAATTTGTTTTGTGTGTAATAGTTCCACTAAGTGGTTGTTAGCTAGAAGTTAAGAAGGACTTCTCAAATGCCCTGTATGGCTCAGAAGAGACTCCGTGGATATTGAAGGGCCTGTAGTAAAAATCCAGAAAGGGTCAGGGGTTTCTATGTTGCATAGTGATCAAAGCTGCCCAGGTATTCGAGTGCGGCTCGATAGCAGAACTGGTATTGATCCTGCAGGAGACAGAGCGTGGGGACAAGAGGACAGGGTACTGTGAGTAGATCATATCAATAGAAAAAGAAAAGAAATCAGTACAAATATAGGAGAAGAAAATCATTACTTTCTTTAATCAATTCAATCCAATGATCAATCAGTGAGGGTACAAAAAAAAACACAATTAGCCACATGGGGTGTTTATTAACTTCACCAATCAATTTGACTAAATATAGTCTCCTAACTCCAAGTAGTGCAAGCTTCAGGGAAGATTATCTTCCAGACAAAGATGTACTGTTTGCCAAGTAGTAACAGCCAGGTACCACCCCACCACTGAGCATACTAATCCCTTATGTGCTAGGGTCATCTTTTATATTTGTGATAACTGTTTCTCAGTTTGCAAACTGAGAAAATCTAACATTTAAAAAATGGGGTTTGGGTACAGTGATGCATGCCTGAAATCCTAGCTATTGGGGAAGATATGTAGAATTGTACTTTGAGAACAGCCTTGGTCCAGAAACATATGACCATATCTGAAAAATAACTAAAATGGACTGGCTCAAGTAGTAGAGTGCCTGACTAGCAAGCGCGTAGGCCCAGAGTCCCAATCTCAAGACTGCCCAAACAAAAACATCAACTACTGTTTGAAGGATAGAGATGAGGGGAAAACAGAATGCTGGAGGGTGGAAAATGATGAAATATGCTGCATCTATGAATGAAACACAAAACTCCCTGAAAATGATGATAGGGAGAAGCAGGGATGAATTACTTGATCCAACTAAAACGCTGTATATGTATGTGTACCAATACCACTGTGGAAACCCTTTGGACAATTATTATACATTTGAACTAAAGAAAGACAAAAATATAGAACAGGTCCTTTCCAGGGAAAGGACACGAGAGGGAGGCTGGGAAACAGAGAGGGCGATGGAGGTTGAATATGGTGCAAAATTCTTCCAGTACATGTATGAAAATGGAGCAATGAAGCCTGTTGAGATTGGTGAGAGGAGGGTGGAGTTTGATTAGGACTCTTGAATATATTACATGCATAGATGGACATGTTAGGATGAAATCCCTTTCTACAACAAAAATGCAAATAAAAAATTTGGGGGGGGGATAAATGCAAATTGTCCTGAAGGAAATCTGGATTTATGTTTTCTGTGTTACTGCCACCTGAACTAGAACAACAAAACAAAAAAAAAACCCTCAAATTTTGATGCGATGATCCTTACTGTTTGCAGTACAAGTTATTCTCTATCATTTCTGATAGAAGCAGTCCAAAGGCAGCTGGTAAGGAGCACAGGTATACAAAGCCTTGGGCATAGGGCTTGGAACTTTGAAGCTTTTCATTTCTGCAAATGGCATCAAAAGGTTGACTGCCCACATAAAAATATACCTGTGCCATTTGGCCTAATTCAGTGTGATTGCAAGTTGTCTGTTCTAGAAAGGCCCACACCAGACTTCAGCAGCATGATATGTGCTCTTTTTCCGACAAGGATGAACACTGTTATGACAGAATTAGTTGGAGCATTGTTGGGAAGAAGGAAAAATTACAATTTACAGATGACTTTAGGGAGGAGAAAAAGTGGGATTTTCCCCATAAAAGAAACATCTTTAGTAGCCAATGCGGCTGAAAGTAGATAGTTTCTATTTTGCTTAAATGTGCATTTTTCCACAATAAAAATGGTAATGTGAAATAAATGGTTTTTGCTTCCCTATCTTGTCACAATGAGTTGCTTGGCTAAGGGTAAAAGATTTTTAAATGTCCAATTTCCCTTTGTCACCCCCTCTCTTCCGAATACCTGTGAAGTTTGTCAGGTTAACATAATCTTGTGAGTATTGCAGGCCAAACACATACTATTTTTAAATCCAAGTCTAGAAGATATTGTGTGTGCTTAATTAAAGAAAACATATAAATTGTAGGATCTGATGGCTGCTTGAGGAAACTAAACACTGTCACCTAATACTATACTTCAAATTTATCAATAAACCAGATTGTCTAAATTCTGAGAAATTTCAATATTAATTAGTAGAATGGACAATGGTAGGGTACTTTCTCTCAATTTATTTGGGATCCAAATATTTAAAATAGGTGATCAAGAAATGAAATATAAAACAGTTGATGCTTCTGTAGGCATACAGAAAGAGAATGTGTGAATACTATGTGCCAAATATGCTTTTTAAATACTTGTTTACAAAAGCATATTTTATATACTTGCATATAAAATGGTATACTATCAATATTAACGCATATGTAATAAAATATGTGAATCTGCCATTTAACAGGTCAAATGGGGGTAACAAAGTATGATTCAATCTAATGCAGAATAACACATAATCACCACAAGCTTAAAGATGCTGATAGTGTCATCCCATATAAAGAGAGGCAAATGAGATTAAAATAAATGAAACAATCTCCTACTTTTACCACAGTATTTTGCATCTAGTATTGTGTGTTCTTGGTCCCTCTGCTGAAATCTAGGCTCATGAGATATGACAAACAACATGGAGATTTTTCTCACCTCTGTCTGCACCATGGCTGGTCGTTGTGTTCTTAACATTTTGACAGTCTGGAAGATGTCTACAACTCCTTCATATCTCATTCTTTCCAAAACAATGCTCAGTGTTATGAAGACACCAGTTCTTCCAACGCCCGCACTGCCAAATAACAATGAGATTGCTCATAGTTTTGATCCATGGGATGGGAGTTACACATGCTTTCACCAGCTTTTCCCTCCAAAGGTTCTCCACAGCACTATCAAGTTAATGTGGAACTGAGTTCACCACCTGATTCCCTCTTGGGAGGGTGTGTTGTGAGAACATTTGAGAATAAATAAATTAGGATTCAGTCTAACATAATGCAATGACTTTCCAAAATGGTATAGAAACCTACTTGGGATAAAAATAAATGGCTAAAAGTGTGAGTTAATAAGTATGGGTGAAAATCCTATAAGTGGAGATCCTGAAACTGGTCCTTGCCTATGCTGGAAGCAAGAAATAATTCAGAGTAAGGTGGGACAAAATGGGCCTGTGTAACTCTTGTAATGGGTTAGTCACTTGGTAATTAGTCTGTGTAGGGGGTTTTGTCACTTAAACCCTCATGGAAGTATGTAACAAGGCAAATATTTAGTTAAAATACTGATGCAGGTTTAGATAAATAAAATTCAGGGGTGGGGGGACGGGAGGGAGAAATTGGGGAGGTGGGGAGGAAAGGGATAGTACGGGAAAAATAAAGGAGGGGGTAACACCCAGTCCCAAAGAAATTTAGGTTCCATGGGTTCCCTTATTTGCAATAATTAACATCCATATAGGATAATCTTATCAGAGGAGCTGAAAAGCTGAAAAACCATGTACAAATAACCATATAAGTTGATGCTAAGTGAAATGAACACCAAAATATGAACATAAGAGGTCTGTCTTTATTGTTATTGTTTTAAGTGTACTATGTGATTTTATTATTTTGTTGTTGTTGTTTCCTTTGTATGTTCTTTCTCCTATGGCATATACCATTGTCACTGTACTCAATTTTGATATTCTGCATCTTGTATATACATATGTCTAATCTGGAGAGAGGAAGGGGAATAACAAAACACTAAAACAAGGACCCAGGATGACCCATTGCAATGAAGATACCTACTGGACAATATATTGGAAATGAACTTTACAACTTCGGGCAGTGAGGGGGGCAGGGGGATAGGAGTATGGGGGCTGGGGGAGGGAAGGGATAGTGGGCAACAAGGAAGGGAAGGGGTAACAATGATCAACAATGTATTCATGGCCTTACTCATGTAACTGTAACCCCTGTGTACAGCATCTTCACAATAAAATAAAAATTTAAACAAGGAGGGAGTAACAATGCTCATTAAGAAATGGACCCATTACCTTGCTCATATAACTGTAACCCCTCTGTACAGTATCTTTCAATAATATATATATATATATATATATAAAGAGAAAAAAGTAAAATTCTATACAATGTGATTTTTTTATATCAGAGGATTTTTACTTAGTGTTCAGGAAGGTCTGTGAATATCCTGTACTTATAGATTGTGAAAATGCCCTATTTTGCTTCATTTCATAAGGCTCATAACTTTCGACTGGTTCTGAATCTTTAATCTACAAAACAGCAACCTTTAGTCTAAAAAAACCCAGCCACTGATTTGTGCATTTATCTGTTGGTTGGCCAACAGGTAAAACTCCAATTGTCTTTGTACCACATTTACAAGGTTTTGGGTTTCTCTCAGTTGTCTTTACTATTTTAAGATAATTCCAGAAACTTCACAGCAGTAAGAAAGAAAATTAATTCATAGCTCTTGTACACTCAAGTAGGAAGCATCTGGAGGTTTAGGTAATGAGAAAAACAGTGCATAATCTGAAAAATCCCTACATTTTTGGATCCTAATTAAATGGCATGTGCAACGCTTGGGCACAGGCTGTAGAAAATGGATGGAGTCATTTACTTGGTGATGTAGCTGACAGGCATATATAAATAGTGTGTCCCTTTATAAACCTCAATTTCTAAGAGTTTAAGGAGAAATATTAAGTGAGGCTTTGAAACCCAAGGGTACTCCTTAATAAAACAGCTGAACTCCAATGAAAGCCAAAGTTTCTGATAAGATGGAGAGGATGACCTTAAAAGTCCTTTTAACCTTGAAAGTCTTCTGGTCTTGAAAGACTGTGATTTACAACTTTTTTTGTTGAATGGGCTATGCACTCCAGAATCTCACTTTGATTGATCATTCAAATGTAACCAACAAAGTGTTTTTGGCTTTCTATTAAGTACTTTCAAGTAAAGAATAGGCATTGGCCTAGTATAAGATAAATAAATATGATAAATATAAATATAACTAAGATAAATAAGTTACAATATAAATATTTTCAGGACTTTCCTACAGAAAACACCTAGAAGTATTCAAGATATGTTTATGATATATGAATGCTATCTCAGCATTTATAGTAAAGACCATTCAAGTCATTTTGTGATGACAATACAATACAAAATAACAATACATCTGCTTATAGGACTGTCTAAACACAGGGTGCTTACAATATATTTTTCCTTATAGGTCATATTGAAAAGGCTTAAATAAGCACTTGGGGATATTATGTGCAAAATTCAAAAAAACACCAGTATTTCTAGCTCAGTACAAAATATCCAGTTTCTGAATATTTCAGTCCATGTGTCCCCTCCTACAGACTCTGGTTGTAATTTTGTGTGTGTGTGTGGTTGTGGGGTTTGACCTCTGGGCCTGGGCACTGTGCCTTAGATCTTCATCTCAAGGCTAGTGCTCTACCACTTGAACCACGGTATCACTTCCAGTTTTCTGAGTGGTTTATTGGAGATAAGAGTCTTGCAGACTTTCCTGCCCAAGATGGCTTTAAACCCCAATCCTCAGATCTCAGCCTCCAGAGTACCTAGGATTATAGGCATGAGCCACTGATGCCTGGTTGTACAAAAAATTTTTAATAGTACAAAACAAATGTATTTTTCATATAATATATCATTACTGAGAATCTTAGGGATCAGAGGGAAAAAAGGTAAAGTCTAGAGAAATTTTCCTATTCTCATAGTGCTATACAATAGAAGAATTAGGACAAGAAAACGTCTTGAAGTTCAACTTTTATATTTGTTTTATTTGTGATCATGAATTCCATGTATCACTAAGTACTACAGTGTGGTTTTTAAAAATGAAACCCTGAAGCAAAATACATCTTTTCTTTCACATCATTTTGAAGACTTTGACCATAAAAATATGTAGACACTAAGATTTCAGTCTCCTAGAATTCAGAAATATACTAGTTTAAATAAATTACTTGTATACGTTTCATTACAAGTTCTTTTACAGTGATTTCTAAAGCACTAAAGTTATGTGGAATGACTAAACCATTTACTTAGTATTTCTATTAAGTTCATTGAGTTAAATTATAAAATGCTGTAGAAACTGTTGAAAATAATTAAATTGAAGGTGCTTCATTTTCTGGCATAGCAACAATTTTCAAGCAAATTGCATTTTTAACTGAGGTACCATTCTAATCTCTTATTGACTGACAAGAATTAGTATTGTCATTAAGGCTTGATAGCTATTTATAGTGTTTCCAAGAAGAAAAACACAAGAGATACAGAGAAGTAGTTATAAGTGCAATTCTCTCAAAGCAGAGCAAGTAAAAAAATGATTACCACAATAAATTATTACTCTGGGATATACCAACCATTCTCAGTAAGGCAAACTGACAAGGAAACTAGTTTTCCTTGTTTGTTTTTTAAAAAAAGGTAATTCATTTTTGTTTTTTTTTACAAGGGGTAAATTTTAGGGATTAAAATATTTTATTTTATGGAAAGAACAAGAAGTAAATCTTGACATTTCACAATGTATTTGGCTACATAGATTCTCTACAAGAAATGTGTATAAAATATAACCAGACAACACTTAGTTTTAAAGTGGCCATTGCATTAATCATAAATGTAAAGCTGGTATTCGTGATTCTTACCTGCAGTGGACTGAAATGGGTCCATCTTGACCAAACTGCTCCTTTGTTTTATGAACTTGGCCGATGAAGTCAATAAATCCTTCTCCAGACTTTGGCACTCCTTGTTCTGGCCAGTCAGTGAACTGGAACTGCCTCACTGTTCGGGACTGGCCGTCCTTTAGAGGGAAAGCCACATACCCGGCCACAGGAGCGGGTGCCAGGAGGATTCAGCAAGCACGCAGACCACAAGAGCAATCATAATATATATACACAGTTTGTTTGTTTGTTTGCCAAAAAGGAAATGGGTAGAAAAAGTTAGGAAATCATTCAATTGGAAAGTTAACTCTGTGTGCCTTATCTGCTATGAACAGTGTCTATGTTCATATCTATTTAAATTATGAGTGTATTCACTGTCACAATGCCCTGTCAAAGAGCTAACTTTTCTGCTAGAACTGTGCAGCTATTGACTCTTAGCAAATGCTTTTGAGACCCAATGGATCATGTCTCCATTCTTTCTAAAATAGAAACAATAACTTCATGTTGAAAGGAGTATCTGGGCATATCATCTAGCCCAGAGGTTTTGATAACTTCACCTCTGCCATGCTTGCTTATTTCTGGCATTGTCAAATGACAAATGGTGACATTTGAAGGAATCGACATAGACCGCTCGTTGCTTTTAACCTAGATGCCCTGTATGTGTCAGAGGTATGCAACATCTACGCATGCCAGGACATACAGCATGTGCCACGTGATGATAATGAAGCAGAAAGTGAAACACCCCGGAAGGAGATCAAAGATATTTTTTTGGAAATAAATGCCCTCTGCTGTAAAAAGAGGTTTTCTGGCTGACCATGGGAATTTAGTACACCAGCGGAGGCTTTTACACAAACAACCCAAAGGGCCAGGGGAAAAAACAAAAGAAATAAACCAAGACAGATATAAGAGGAATTTTTCTTTTCTAAAGTGACCAGGTAAAATTGCTCTGACTCAGGAAATATAATGGTATAAAAAGAAGATAACTGAGGCACTTCTAATTCAGGAATTTTTTTTTGAAACACAGGAAGAGCTAAAGGGACCTTTTCTTTCCAAAATCAGAGATAACAACAGTGCCCACCTAATTTCTCCTTTGACAAACAGAGAAAAGGGACAGCCAAACTGCTTCTTTCGCTAGAGGAATCATCCTTTTTTTCCCCACCCTTGTTAACATCCTTTCTCTTTCAATATCTTTTTTAGAGACAGGCATGCAAATTCCCAACGTCATGGTCTGAGACTCAATCTGTCTCAACCACTAACATTAAGAAGATAGGTGGGCTCAGTTTAAGATTAGCATTTATCAACTAGCCTAGTGTCTCTCAGGGTCTCAAGGTAGATTCCAGACTAACATCATTTAGGGATGGAGATAAAATAGGAAGATCACACCATTTTTTTTGACAAACAGGGGTACAGAAATAACTGTCCCTAAAATCAACTTCTGGATGGTTACTATGGAAGCATGATTTACTTTCCTTGACTCCTGGAAAAGGTTTGGAAAGCACAGAAAAGAGAGCCAAAGGCTAGGTAATGAAGATTGGTTCAATCCAAAAGTCCTGGAGATTCCATTTCTGAAATCTTACTTTTAGTCACAAGAAGAGGTCAAGTGTTCACACTCTACTTTTTAGAGGAGAGATGACTGCCTGACTTCATTTACAGGTTATTTGTTTAAGAACACTGAAGTCTCCAGTGCCAAGTTGCTTTCTAAACCAAGGAGACTAGATTAGAAGCACAGCAGGAACACAAACAGTAGGTGCTTGTGGTAGCTAAGAAAATGATATAAGCATGGGGAAATTTAAAAAAAAATATATATATAATGTGAATAAGTTTCAGCTTTTGGCTTATTATGGTCAGTTTTAATTTGGTAATATTGGGTGTCGTAAAGGTGATATCCTACACTGGTAGAGTTTGTCTTTAAGTCTCTGTTATCAGAAATACTTGTTGAGTTTATTTCCAGGACACTTAAAAGTTGAATTCACATACTTAACTTCAAATGCTGAAAGGATATTTTAAAGAACAAAAACAAATTCAAAAGAACCAAAACAAAAATAAGAGGGCAGATAACTAAGGCATGCTTGCTTGGAAAACTAAAAAATGAGACCTAGGAACTTAATGGCTATCTTGAGTGCAGTCACCTTTAGGGTAGTTAATATTTTAGACTTTCAAGGATTAACAGGCTTGTCACCTGGGCCAAGGCTTTCATTAACCACTTTCTCTCTCTCTTTAAGTCAATAGTCAGAGTCAGGCTTTGGGGATTAGCAGAAAATGTACAAACATGAGTTTAGAGAAAGCTACTTTCCAGCAAAAACAATGGATACAGCCCATGGCTCTACCTTCAAGTTTTATTCAACCCACCCACTGTGACAGTTCTCAAAGTAAAGCAGGACTTTGATGTAATCCAGTTGTCCCTAAGATGTGTTTGTCATTACTGTCTGAGAGTTGCCAAAGGCAAAGATATTAAAGTGTATGCATAGAACATCTTACATCAGGGCTGAACCTTGGGCTTGGCAATCTTGATAAGCAACACAGAATGAAAATTAGCCAGCTGGGGTCATGGGTGCACCGCTCTCATAGACAGACACATTAGCACAAGGAGGAATAAACTATGCCAGGAATCAAATTAGAATGTGCAAAGCTTGTCAGATTCTTGTAAGGAATGCCATTTGCTATGCAGTTTTAAAATCATACCAAATTAACCTCTAAGCCCACATGACCTAAAGGGCTTTGCAAACCAACAACATATTTACAGCCTCAAGTAATGAAGGAAAAAAAAGACCTCCAAAAAAAACTGAGCTGAGAAGGTGAATGTAAGCATAGCCAACCAATCACATAAATGCTTCCCAGCACAAACACTCACCAATACATCCCCAAAGTTGCACTGCCAGATGTTACGTTTGAATAGAAGCCAAATCTGGGTTTCTGAGCAGGCTTGCCAGACAGAGGAAATTTGTTCTTATATTTTTAAAATAATGTCATCCAAAATGGGTGATTTCTTTTCTCTTTGGGAGTATGGTCACTTGGCAAATGCCTTTCCCAGCAAAGTATATTTTAAACTAATTTAGCTAATGATTAAGAGCTGAAGATTGTGCCAACTTACCCTGGCATCTGTGACCTTGAATTCCCTTAGGATATATTGTGGCATGTTATATTCAGCCATAGGATCTACAACAAAATACTGATATCTCGCCGAACGCTCAGCTGGCCAGTATTGGTGACATTTCTCCTAAAAAAAAAGAGATTAATGATAAACTACATAATGTACACATAAGATTTTGTTCATCATCTATCTAAATTCTTTCTCTCACTGATAAAACAGTACGATTCAAGGTAATTCCAACTGCATGTGAGTCACTTTTTCTTTGAAACCCTAAATTTCCTGAGGCTGAGGTAGCCTTGGAGTTTAATGTTTGCTCATGGTATCCAGCACAGAACCTGGCATGTAGTAGCTACTTGATAAACATCAGTTGAAGTGAATACTTTAATAGGGTGGATGTTTTTATGTTTTTAGAGTTATTCACAGAATTACATTAGTCCTTGGGAAAGGCTGACCATTTAAGTTCTATAATGCACCAATAAAGCAGGCTTGTAACATTGTGGTTTGGAATGAAGAGAAACATCAATGTAAAAAGAATGCAGAAAGAAATCTCAGAATTAATCCAGTCTCATTTGTAGATTGAGGAGATTGGAATCCAAGCAGGTTTAGTGACTTAAGTAATCCCTACAGAGAATTAGCTGCCAAGTTACAATAGTTACTTTCCTAGTCCAATATTTTTTTTTTTTTGGTCCATGGTGGGGCCTGAACTCTGGGCCTGTGTGCTGTCCATCAGTTCTTCAGCTGAAGGCTTATGCTCTACCACTTGAGCCACAGCTCCACTTCCGGCTTTTTTTGCTTATGTGGTGCTGAGGAATTGAACCCAGAGCCTCATGCATGCAAGGCAAGGATTCTATCACTGAGTCACGTTCCCAGCCTCCCTAGTACAATATTCTTTTTTAACAATATTGTTGTAACAGTTGCAGCTTAGTTATCCCTATATCAATTTTCACAAAAGAGAAGAAAAATATAACTCCAGGAAATGTTTACAAAATTTTGTTTGTATTGAATTTAAGTGGTAGGTCCATTGGTAGCTCTAATCTACTACTTCACGAATATTTCAGTAACATTCATTTTGTGAAGCATATTTTTAAAGTCACTGGGTACTAATGACCGACGACTATAACTCTAGCTTAATAGGAGAATTAAATCTAAGGATCTCTGTTCAAAGCCAGCCAGACAAGAAAAGTCCATGAGACTCTTGTCTCTAATTAAGCACCAAAAAAAAAAAAAAAGCTGAAAGTAGAGCTGTGGCTCATGTGTCAGAGTGATAGATAGCCTTAAGAAAAAAAAAAGAAAGAGCTCAGAAATAGCACTGAGGCCCTGAGTTCAAGCACCAGGACCAGGACCGAAAAATATTCCTAAAGAAGATCTATGATTACAAGATTATATTCTTTGAAAAACTATGTGAATTTCCAACACATTATTCAATGGACCTGAGAGGTAGGGAAGTGAAAATTTCCCTCAGGAAAGGAAAAGAACTAAGTTCTTTCAGACAGAGAAATGACAGCACATGGACTCAATGAACGCTAGCCTACCCAGAAAAAAAGGAAACAAGAATATGTTAAGAAAGCCAAATAAACACCTGCTGACCCACTTTCTCTAGTATTGTGTTTCTTTGGACAGAAAAATGGCCAAAACTATTCTCAACGGAAAGAACTTGATGTGACTTTGCAAATTAGAAACCATTCAATTATGAATGGTCAAGACCATGTGGGAGCACTCTGTATCTCAAGAAAACTTGAATTATGAAAATCAAAAACCTGTTTCTTTCAGTGCTCACACATCTTATGAGCAGATACACTTACTCTGCCCATTTCACGCAGCTTGGTTAGCATCACGACGATGGTGGAGTTGTGTTCCCAGAGCATCCGCCAAAAGTCTTCAGTGGTTTCTGCCAAGGGTCCTTGGGTAGCAATGTAGGCCTTCTGTTGTCTGAATTACAGAGAATGGAAAAAGTACGTTAAAAATTTTGAGGACATGCAAGAGCCCCCATTTGATATGTCAAAATCGAACCTGGCAATAGAAAAATAAGCATTATTAATTGCACCTGAAGGAAGCTCCCATTAAGATTACATAACCAAATAAGAGCATTTAATACATTAGAACACTTTTCAAAATAAATATTGTTACATAATATTGTTAATGTAATTATTACATTATATTATTGTAATGTCTCTTTCATTACTAAATTTTAGTACAACACTAATAACTCAATTTCATGTATAACTCAAGTTCATGGGTCATACAAATCACATAAGCAGTTTATGGCTTAATTTTCTAGAAATTATGCTCATAAAAATATTAGATTTATGAAATATGGTATGAAATAGCTTTTTTATTAACTCCTTCAAAATGAACATTGGTTCTGATGTGTGTGTGTGTGTGTGTGTGTGTGTGTATGCTGGTATCTTACTATGTGAGACACACTTGCTTCTAGTTTTGGGTGGTTAATTGGAGGTAAGAATCTATGGATTGTCTTTGAACTTGATCTTCAGATCTCAGCCTCTTGAGCAGCTAGGATTACAGACATGAGCCACTGGGGCTTGGTGACCAGAAATAAGACTGTAGGTGATGTAAAAATCTCCGTAACTAGTGTATCTTACTCCTATCCAAAATAAAAAATATATAAAAATACCAAGGGACTGAATGCTGACCTAGACAGAAACAAAATGGCTTTGAATTGAAATGAAATTTTCTGGTTATGAAACTAGGGCACATGCAAATACCAAGGCTTTGGACTGTCAAGAAAGCAAGACTAAATACCTGTATCCATCAATAAAACTGGCATTGATGTAATCAGATCCTTCTACTCCTCGGATAGGCTGTAGGCATACCCTTGTGGATTCATATGGCATAATATTAACAAGGCGATTTTTGAATTTATTACATGGAAGATTGGCACTGATGAATCTTGAGGTGTGAGCTTTTGAGCTGGCTAGACGCTGTTGAAAACAAGAAAAGAATAATTTGACAAAGATAATTTTAGCCAATGGCTTGAATGCAATATACCCACATATCTTTTTTTAAAGATATAAACCTTTTATTTTAAAGTATTCAAACTGCATTGATTTTTCCTTCTAAGTATTCATAGAGTTTATTGAGTTTTAAAATATTATGTTCTGAAAGTATGACCTCTCAATTTAAATTAGGACACAAAAGGGCCCAAGGCATTGTTCAAAAAAAGCAAGGATAGAGTTGGCAACAGAAGAAGCAAGTTTTATAATCAGGTATTTGAAAAGATGGTCTGATTATGAAACTTGTATTTCAAAGTTTTAGGAAAGCAAAGCCACTACTCAGGCAGTCCCAGAATGATACATTCAGCTCCTGAGTATCTAGATTTCATCCAATGCCATACCTTAAATTCAAGCTCCATTCCTGTGACATTCTCCCCTGTTTCTATTTGTGTCAGCTTCTGAATGTAGGCATACAAATTTCTAGCTGGCACTTCGGTATTTCCACAAGTCACTGCTTCTAACAGTGCATCATGGATAAAGATGTACTGGTCTTCTGTTTGAACCATGTAATTCCTCTGGGCTCTCATTAAGGTTACATGGCCATAAATATCTACAGTTTTTTCATGCTTTATTCTTTCTAACATGGCATCTATTACGATGAAACAACCAGTCCGGCCAACTCCCGCACTGTAGGGGAAACAGAAAAGAAAAAGCCCATGTAATATTATGAAGACATCAGTAGGTACTACAAGTTTTATTTCTTATTAACGAGTTTATATACCAATTTATTCTATTTATAAAGGTATTGTGATGATTGTTCATCACTCACATAAGATTTTATTTTCTTGCAATGCTGAAAGTAATCTGACTCAGGACCTTGCACATGCTGAGTAAGTACTCTATCACTAATTTCACTAATCTACATCTTCAGCTTGATTTTTGCCTACACAAGTGAAAACAGGTGTTTTGTGTGTGTGTGTGTGTGTGTGTGTGTGTGTGTGTGTGTGTGTGTGTGTGCATGCGCGCTTTCCCTCTCTGTCTCTCTCTCTCTTTCTGGGACTTAAACTTAAATTCAGGACCTAGGTGCTAAACCATTCTACCACTTGAGCCACATCCACTTCCAGCTTTTGGTTGGTTAACTTGAGATAAGAATCTCAGGGACTTTCCTGTCATGTTTAGCTTCTGGGACTTTTAGATCTCAGCCTCCTGAGTAGCTAGGATTATAGGCATAAGTCAAGCTCAAGCCTAGTCAAATCATATTTTTAAGGCACCATTTTCAGAATGTACAGAAAAAATAGTAAAATGAGTTTTACTTCATAAAGTAGAAATATTAAATCTATAACTACTATGATTCTTAATCATGTTATAAAATTGATATTATTTTGAAAGCATCATGAAAAATGCATTTAGGCTTTTATACTCAGAAACTAATTTTTTAAAGGATTGGTCAATATCTAAGACAATTTGACAATTATGCCAAACCGCAGCATATTTTAGTTTAATTTATTATAATAATAAAGACAAGCAATCTAGTAGATCTTTCAAGTGAAAACATTTCATATTCTAAAACTCACTAAACAGTTCTAAAGGCAGCCTCATGGGATATTTATAATTACAACATTAAAATGTTGATACAAATTTTCAAAAGTTCTGCATATTCTTAAAGGAATTCTTAAGAAAAAGCAATCAGCATAGGGTAATTCTTGAATTTATTCCCTTTCTTTTCCAAGCAGAAAGGAAATTCCAGGTGAAATTTAGGTATTTTGTGTAGAGCAAAAAGGAGGTCTCAGTCTCTGTTACTAAAAAAGCTTCAAGGCATTTTTCAAAATCCATTATTTGGAGACATATGGGTCATTTTCCAGTTGGTAGAAACAAATTCTAAGAAGAGGAGATGAGTCAACAAAGAACAATGGCTAGACAAGATCTTGGTGTTCCAAGGAGACAATCTAATTTAGTGAACTGGATTAGAATCAGGTGCTAGAAACACTGAAATATCCTCTAGGGTTAAAAAGGATACCAAGAAAACAACACATCTGTGCACTGACAATCTAAAAGTAAGCCTTATATGTTTCTACTTACCCATTTTTTTTCAGGCTGAAAGGTTTATGTTTCAAGAATGGTTCAGTCCAAAACACTTTTCTTTTTTAATACCTATTTACCAGTCGGGTAACCATGTAATCCACAGGGACAGGTACATATCACCACCTTAGATACCAAATCGCAGGGGTCCACCTTCATTCTCTACAAATCACTGTATATCTCTGTGCTCATTAATTAGTCTGACCAACCACAAGACGATCTTACTCTTCAGCCAATAAACAATCAAATACTTTGCTAAGTGAAATAGGCGACCTCAATAAAGATGACTTTAATCTTACTTTTAAAGATCTGAGAGTCTAACAAATGATGTAATACTCTACATAACTGTTTAATACAAGAAATCAATTGATGTGTTGGTTTTGGAATTGAAGGATGGAGAATGTAGGATGTTCATAAAACCAAAATGAAGTTATGATTTTGTAATTGTACTTCTGGCTCTGGGAGATGCATTTTTTTACAGGTGTAATTTTCATGGGTATAATTTTTCATAGGCCTGGAAGAGTACCTGTGCAAGAAAAACACCAGCACTCTAAAATGAGTGCACCAGGGTACTTGTCTCAAATGAAATGGGAATTTCTCTGATGACACCTACTTGAAAGGTAGTGTGAGAACATCTGTTAAAATAAAACAATATTTATTTAATTACTGAACACTGTAAATAAAATTCAGCCTTCATAAAGTGACTTGTGGTTTATAGATATGAGCAGTGGCTATAAGCACTATTTTAAAACTGCTTAGGGCTTTATGTCTTATGCCAAAGGCCTCCTGGATACTAAGGCTCCATTTAAGGTTTAAATCTGCAAACTGATATGACTTTTGAGGTATTTGAAACAGCCTTCTGGGTACATCTCCCTCAGCACAAAACCAGTAAGAAAACCGATGGATGCTGAATACAAAGCCCAGTAAACCCAGGGTTCCAAAGGAGCCATGAGGCTTTCTTTCACATCTTTTACCAAATCCAGTCCTTTATTACTTTAATATTCCTTTATTCCGCTTGCTAGATGGTCAATTACTCTGTCATTTTCCATCTTCACTCTTCCAGTTGGGCTATTCACCTGCTTCTCCAGATTCTTTTTACAGCAAACACCTTTACCCTATAACCCTAGAAAAACTAATCACTCATGAACTAATCATTCATGCTAATCACGTATGAACAACTGTACTTCTTGGCAGTAGAAACTGGATAAAAGCCTTCACACTAAGTGTAAACATTCACTAATGGTTGTGGGATGAATTAGTGATTGGCAAGAGGTATTATACAATATTCAACCCACCTAGATAAGTTAATCATTTGTAGGAGTAAGGAATCCTTAGTTTGTGAATGTAATCCTAAATTTGACATAGCTTTGGACTATGCAGGGGAAATCTAAGTATTTGCCATGAAAAAAAAAAACTTGAAGTAGTTTCTGTGTCTTGTTCTGATATGCAGCTAGACTGCAGTCAAAATAATCCAAATAAGATTAATTCACTTTTCTGGGATCCTTTCAAATTCCATTTTGGCAAGTTCTAAGATTATGAATAACAACTTTTCATTTTTTCTATGTTGTCTTTCTAAATCGTCTTCATTTTAATGGGGCATGACACCTATTTAGATACTACATGCTGCCCTTCTGAATGGATATCACACCATAAGAATCATGCAAGGCTACATATCAAGTCAATTCTAGGTAATAGCAGGAGTATTTTCCTAAACCATGCATCTGGGACCATTCAAATGTCTGCTTGATGCATGGTATAGTGTGGCATCTCCCTCAGAATCTTGAAAAATAGGTATAAATAACTCCAACTATAAACCATATTGCTTTTTTATATTAACAGTATATATCCTCAAACAATGAAGGAGGAACACAATTCAAATATGTACCCAAGCCTGAGGGAAGAAAAGAGGCAAAACAAGAGAGGCTAAGACTTGAACAATACCTATTTTCCCCACACAAAGCACAAAACACTTATTTTGCCCCTTCTTTCCATTGTTTATCCCCCACTCTTTCCATTCCTCTCCAAGAGGGGAAGGAGCTGGCCCTTGGAATTGATCTGTTGTCTCTTCTCTAGGGTGAAGAGGATTTTCTTGGATTTAAGGTGACCTTGAGAAAGTTACTTAACCTTTTTTTCCTATTAAATCTGATAACAATTAACTCTAGTTGATTAGGGAGTTTAATTATCTAGTAAATCTTAAGGTTGAGTTGAAGATATCAAGGTTTCTGCAAAAATGAAGAAAGAGGTAGTCACATTTTGTAGGTATGAACTCCATTTTTCAAAACTAGCTCTGATGTTAACCACAAGCAGCTGGCATTACTTGGAAAACAATGATGAAGTCACTTATGGTTCATTTGAGATTTGGCTTTTAAAATCCTGATTTACTCTACCTCATTCAACCTACTTTCCCCGTTTTCCAATCAACAAATAATAGCTTTCATTCAAGCAACTTTCACATTATCATGGGGAACAAACTGGCAGTCAAGAGCCTTTCTACCAGAGTGCTTGTTGCCCAGGTGGTATTCAGGAAATGCTGGTCTCCTTTCTCTTCTTGTGTATATAAAATTTAGGTTTTTCCTGAAGTGAAATGCAGGTTCTGAGACACCTCACTTTAACATGACCTTCCATAGTATTATTAGGCTTTCTGCCATTTGGGACTGCAGGAATGTCCAGATATGATGAACTTGTTCTAGTCCACTGCTCTGGAACATACTTGTAGCTCCATTTGACTAACCATAAGGCAAAGAGTCCTTCTTTCTTGTTCTGGAAGGGGGAAGTATAAGAAACATTAGATGTCCTCTTGTGCATGACTGTATGAAGGGAGGAGACTTTAAAACCAATCCTAAGCAAAAAAAAAAAAATCCCAAATATGTGGTACGTGAAACCCACTAAAAAGAATCGATCGTGTCATGGTTCTATAGATTCTGAGTGTAGAATTCCTATTATGTTAGAAATGAAGCAACGAAGATAAACTCTACATGTCATCTCCACAGATCCACTGGCACCCCTTTAAACCATGGTTCAGTATGTGTGTTTGGTTTATGTCACTGTGATGAAATACTTGCGAAAATAACCTAAGAGGAAGAAGGCTGAGATTTGGTTCACATTTTCCATTCTATCAGGATGTGGAAGGCATGGTGGAACATAGCAGAGCAGAGTATGGGGGAGGGAGGGAAGGAGAAACACAGGGGAGCTAGGCAGGGAGGGAGAGAGAGACCTTTCCTCCTTTTTCTCCATGCCTGCTGCATTTGGGCTTTCTGTATATAGTTAATCATCCTCTCTGGGCCCACAGAAACACCTAGTGGTGTGCTTTGCTATCTCTCGCAACCCAATCAAGTTGATAATCAATCATCACAGCATGTATTTTTAAAAAATTGATCCTTGTGCTCATTATCTACCTGCCGTTCTACATTGTTCATGTGTGTCTCTGCTTACACTCTGCTGCCAATCTTTCAAATATAGATAAGACCCCCAACTTTCCATCTTTCATTCTCTTTCTGATTCATTAGTGACATTCCAAACACATGCTTTTGAAAAAGATGACTTTTTCTTGGAGTACAAATGGAGACCTACATTTTAAATAATCTTACTTCCTCTTACTCTCATCTCTC